GGACAGACTTTGTAAGTGCGTCAGCCTGAATCTCTTAAGGCCATGGATTTTTCTAGTACGGCTCCTCCGGAACCAATTCACTTGTAGTTCGTTGGGGTACGCAGCCGTGACACCGATATCGTTAGCACACCATCCAAGCAGTGTTTTACGAATATAACACTATTGTACATTATCATGGGTTCTTATCTCATGCTCATCTTGGAAGTAATCTAACCCAACGTTAGCTAGTACCGGTTTGCTCTTTTTCTATGAATTCCGTCGAGATATTGTAAGTAGCCTCATTTGTAGTTACTCCGCTCGGACTAGGAACCGTATTAGTCAAATGTGAGCCACGTGTGGTATTGGAACATCAGTTTATTTTCTGGGCTCTTGGTATCGTCTTACTTACGGTGTTACGAGCCATTATCTTCAGGATTGTAGCAGCACTTACTGAGGAGGCTTGGGTTGCACAGTCCGCGATGCTTATCCCGACCGTGGTGACTTTGTTGGCCACCATTTCCATACACTGGGCTAGTAGCTGGTCGTACTTCTGAGATAATAGGAGCACGCATTTTATCAGTGGGATAGAGGTGCATTTCAAGAAGAACCACAGGAAATCTGGTTGGTTTAATAACGGCCTGACTAGATTTAACTCGGAGGTATCTAGCATGGAAAAGCTTGCAACAATTACGGTACGGAATCTCCCTGAACAAGTGTGGCACAGGATCCAAATGGGTTTTTAGACTGTAGCACACTGGGTATCGCACTTGTTGCTAAAATGTTACGAACCACTAGAATGACACGCTCGACAGAAAAAGTTGTTCTGTTGCTGATGTTGACGCCACGGTCGCAGTTGTGTGCTTGCAGACTGCCCCCTCTGGAGTGTCAGTGTGAAAGTGGGGAGGATTACACGAGGGTGTGGTTGATAATGTTCGTGGGTAGGCCCATGGATTGCGCCAGGTGAATTTGCCGAGACTGAAAGGGGTTCGTTTCGGAGAAGCGTAAGTTCTTCTGCGGCTTCACCAAGCAATTTTGGATTTGAACGAGTGAGAGAAACCTTTAGAGATGCCGCAATTTTTGACACAAACAATCCGTGACCTCCGCGATACAATGGAATCTGGTGTGGTTCAAGTGAGGAAGGAAAATCTATCCAGGTTATGTTGCAGTGTGTTGTGGCGGATGAACCAGCAAGAGCAAAATGTTCCAACGTTGGTAACGCTGATGTTTCATGTACATCAAACTTGAGTAGGTGTTTATCTTGACGGACGCATCACATTTCCGCAGTCAGAGGACGCTAGACCTCGGACCGATATGGAGTTCCGGTCCATGCACCCGGAGGAACACTACCTTGGCGACTCACTATTCGAGGCACTTCGTATGAATATGACTAAGTCCTTTCCGTTGGATTACACGCAGCAACTTTGCATCGAGTGATGAAACGGTTGCTCCATCTGTGGCGAAATGGACCCATAGCAAGAAAGTACACCTTTCCTCCCCAGCTATCCGGGATGTGCACAACTGCTTTGCATTAGCGGCTGTCTTACCAGTGAATTCCCACGTGAATTTCGAAGCTTAGAAGATGTTGATAGATTGTAAGCTGCTGAATTACGTCAGTTTTTGCAGTATCTGGATCCAGTCGTAATGAAAAACATCCTTCCAGGCGCAGTACGACAATTTCGTAGATTTATTTGTCACCTCGTACGTACTATGTTTGCAGAAATGGTGCTCTTACTATTGGTTGCATGTGGAATCCAGGTTGCAGTGTTTCGACATATAGACACCACGTACGGCGAACAGAAGCTTGTACTCAATGTGCATTGTCTGTAGCACTTGTGCCAGGAGGTTCGCCGGTTAGGTACGCTAGACAACTGCATTTTCATTCGAGTCGTTGCTCGGACGTTTGCGGATAATAGCACGAGCGGCACACACGTCAACATCACAGATTTTCAGACGTGTCCTAGAACGGTGTTCATCTCAGGGACTCTTCTGGATGACGCACAGTCAGTTTCTATTATGCCGAACATTGACCCTGCGACTTTATTTATGTGCAAAAGTGTGGTCATGACGACGAAGCGTCTAAACAACGTGGGTCCCGTTGATGGCACACCGTCATTGCTAATGTGTATAAGGCAGTAAGAAGTATGTGTTCAGTCTTTTCCGCATTGCCGATCATTTGTCCACAAGTTCATACCATCGGTTGATTTACGCATTAATCAATGCATCCGTCGCGTGACTTCACAAAAATGAGTAGGGAACAGTACGGTTAAATGAAGGGGCTTTTCCGTTCCTTTGGATGACACTTGTACTTTAGCCCATAATACTCAGTTGGGTTGACTTCGGTTTTTCATTTTCCCGCAAAATGCGACCATGTATGTAGCCCCAATCGTTAACTTAGAGATGTATCGCCTCATAGACTTGGAAAACGGCAGCGTCGCAAGTGCACACGACACCTGGATGGAGAAGGAGGACAAAACAAGGTGGCCAAGTTGTACTCCAGCCCCTTGTTCCACAACCTTCCTGCACCTGCAGGTTCGTTAGGTTTCAAAGTAAGAACGCACCGATTCACTGGTGAATGTTTGCCAATCCTACATATCCATCCATTATTAGATTACTATGCAAAAACTAAGCGTCTGGATGGGGAGCTGATGCTATGCTCAGAGCTACCGCCCAGCGATGCCATCTGCGTGATTGAAAACAATGGAAAGCGGAAAAGGTATGTCGTAAATCCGTAGTGTTTACAACACGGCGAAGCACCACTGAAGCAGTACACAAGTCGCCGACGGACCTCCTCGCCGGACGCTGACTACTCTCCCTACCCCCTCGACTGCATTTGGAGGATGATGTGGCTCCTGTGCAATCACACGAAAACATTCAGTCAATACGCAGACCAAAAACCTCATTAAGTGACAGTTAGCCTCATATTCTTCAAATACACACGCAGTTCTTTGTTCAGACTACCCGTTCCGAACAACAATGACGTACCAGATAAGCCTTTCAATTGCCCCATTAACATACGACTTTAGCTCTGCTGTTAAACCTCACGCGTGGAGTCAATAACCACGCGAAGAGCACCATGAACATAAGCTGACCACACATCAGACTCAGCGTACTCTTGAGTTTCGACAGAGCACCGACGTGTGCCCGTATAAATTACCTTTATACTCAGGCAGCGACTTCAACAAGTTTACCCTGGAATGGGGAATGCGACATTTATGTCATAAGTGGCACAATTAGAATATACCTGATGTCTGCATCCAGGTAGACCATTTTTCCCTTGTAGGTGGGAAATCGATCTTGGACGTGTTGCGAAACATCATGATAACTTCCATGAGCATGTCGGCACGCAATGGGAACTTACGTGAAGTCGACCAGAAATATCGCATTGCGGGCACTCCGTAGGCGAGTTGCATCATCAGTAAGCATACCGGATTTTTTAACTGTAAACTACGTCAGACGAAATAATGCGAAAGAAATACATCGGATGTACGAACGTCTTAGTTGCAGACAAAATGCGGAGATGGATCCAGTGCGTCGGCAAACAGTAAAAGCTGCAACAACCGGAGCAGCGTGGCCCAGTAAACCCTACTTTCTGCATGAACCTTGCATTACAATTAATATTTTTTCTGTAACGGCTTTTACTTTTAGACTGTAAACGAGTTTGTGAGTTTTGCGACTTAAATGGCTGCCGATGATGTAGTGAAAAGTACGGTAATAACGGGTTTAAGCAACGGGGGTATAGGTTCACCAGGCTAGGTTCCGACCTGACCGTCCGGTTTCCACCATAAAAGTATGTCCTACGGGCGTCAGATCAGACGGATATCAGTCACTTGTATTTTGGAGATCTACAATCGGACCTCAGGCCTGCCACTTCGCCAAACATGTTGCATTAACAGCACATAAGTGGCAGTGTGCATCTGAGGCACAATTTGCAGTTTTTTTTGTCAACTTGCTCTACATGTGTGAAACCACTAGGAACACGTTTCCGATAACCATGAATGGTTTTCAAACTAATTATTATGGTTTTACTGGTGCATCAATAAGTTTATGTCAAACATCTGATCACACTTCAGTTGTTATCCGAGTATGGCAGTTTGATTACAAAAGTTTCAGCACCATGCGAGGTTCCATGGTCATTTCAGCGAGATGCAGCGCGCAATCTTGCTGATCACGCTATACAAAAGCGTACCTTGTTCAATCGAAGAATTCCTGATGCCATATCCTGCGAGATGTTCGTCCCGCTCGGTGACTCGCTCGCTGTGATTCCCAATCTCCATTACTCAATCCCACAATTTGTCTCAAGTAAAACTTTATGCCCGAACTCGCAATGCTGAATCTGTGGCCTGACGTCAACCCTGTTGTATGTTCATTTGTAGTTGCAGAACTTTCCTCACAAATGCAATAATCCACACGTTAACATTTCAATTTGAAGTGAACAAATCCATTCTCGCTACAACTGGTACAAGCCATTGTGCTATCAATGCTCTTGACCGATTCGAGTTTGTAATATTGACGCGCCAGATAGCGGCTCAAGGTGGTTACATGGCCTCGCATTATAGGAACGTTGATCTGAGTGGAGATCAGTCTTGAAAACTATTTGCTTCGTGCAGTTCATTGTGTTTCCGTCCCGGTCCCTGAGTAACGTCGAAACCTTACAGCGCCCACGATACGGTATAGTATCTCAGTGACTGGTCAATTACCCTTATTCGTTTGTCACATAAAATGCGCGGCGCATTATGATGCCGTTGGTATGCATATGCCTGTGATTTAAAACCATATTTGTTGTCTGTTTGGAGTGAACTGAAGTTGATGATTATAACTTGTGCAGACTTTTGCCAACTGGTTGTAAATAACAGCGTTATTCATATGCGACTTTGTTGTTTCGATTTGGATGGATATTTTTCCAAAAGCTTTGCTACTTTCACTAGCTGTTTCATGTATCGATGGTATCTTATCAAATGATAAAATTGAATAGCGCACGAATTAGTCTGCTCATAGAGTTTTTTCGTACGCCGGGATATCTTCATTATCATGCGGAAAAAGGCGTGCCCCTCATCCGGGAGAATAAAGACTCATTGATTTGTTCATAAGAGGGAGGGTGCAAATAAAACTGGCATCACGGGAATGGTGATGTGGACGATGTGTAACCGATGTGAGGCGCGCTCAACAAAGACGACATTCACAGATGAAGTTCGGGCTAGCAACATAATGATCTAGTTAACTTGGTGGTTACGCTTTGCAATGACACGGAAGAAAACAGAAAACAATGAGCAACAATACGTAATCTTTAACATCGTACAAGAACCACTGTGCAAGGGATTAGCAGTGTCGAATAGAGAGTGGGTGAAATATCTACAAACCGTTTCAGGGAAGAAATTTCGGGTCATCAAGACGAGGAGGCCAGTCTAACTCAATGGAGACAACATCCAGAGCTAGAATATCCACTTGGCACTGAAATATGCTCGCCAAACTAGGACGAGTTCGACCCAGATCACCATGGATAAATTCTTTCACATAGGTACCAGCGTCACAACGCAAGTCTATGATGAAAAGCTCTTCTGCCGGATACACGTTGCTCCAAGACAGGTAATCGTCGAGCTACCAGTGAAACAGGGGGCAAAAAAAGAAAGAAACGAAGATTAGCAACAACGTTTTACAAATTCAGTGTTACATGGCGTCAAAATGATATCGAGGCCACGAAAGAAACAAGTAGCGCTCTAGATGGGAACGAAACAAATTAATGAAATTGATAGAGCACTTGTTCTTCGTGGATACTGCAGCTGTGTACATGTTGCACAAGCGAGGGGAACTCAGCAAGCAGAGAAAATTGAATTCTGTAAACACTTGAACAGTGCAGGCTTCTGCGAGATCAAACATGGCCAGAGCGCATGTATGCATGTTAGAGAGTCGAATGTGTGGAGTGATCAGCGAAAAGCTGTCCTACCATCGCGGTAAACTGCGGGAAAGTGAGATAGAAAAAGTAATCGCATACCCGGAGGTTGTTCAACAGTGTTATGCCGTTTGACTGCCAAAGCAAGCCAAGCCGGCATTGGGTGCTGGAAAGTGATTCGCGCTTTGCAAATTTATGTAAAAGTGTGCGAAAGAGTGCTTTGTATTAATTCGTGTATGGAATAGATTTCGCAGGATTATAAGGTAGCAGCCTGAAAAAATGCAATGCTGAATAGCTTAGAATGCGTAAAAATCTCAAAATCCACATCGCTTAACGCGGAACTAAGGCAGATGAACATAGGAGAAGATAAACAGTAGCAGTGTGATGAGTAACTCATGTGCCACAATGCAATACTGAACCGAGCAATATGAGATAGCATAAAGGAAATAAAGCGCCGACTTTCGAGTCAAAGTCAGGAAATTACACCAATACAATTGTTCGTCTGTAAAAAAGCACAACCAGAGATGCGCACATACTTAGCCTGAAAGCAACCAGGTGAATGAACGAGAAACAGTTAACTTCACCCTTATGGGGTTCAAGCATATATTGTTAAGTGGTCACGTAATGGCACTAGACGGCTAACCTCGAGAGGAACATTGCACATAAAAGCTCGATAGTCCAGTAGTCGCAGGAGATGTACGCTTCGGACTCTTTCCAGTGCAGACCGGCGATGAAGCGCGCGTATGGGGGTACGCTGCACCAGAGTAATGGGACCGAACTGCCACAACGTTTTGGTTAAGTCCCAAGTATGGGTGGAATCAGAAGGGTAAGAAATGGGAACAGTAGGGAAAGCCGAGTTCTGATGGTTGCAGTACGCTCGCATGCGCTCGATGTATTGAATATCGAGTCCACCTTGTGGACACCAGCAGACGGCCATGTAGCATTTTGGTTTCTCCAGCTCTCCACGCTTGACCGCGTGGCAATCATCGGAACATCGTACGACCTGAAATTGAGATGCACAGCACAATGTGGCGAGAACCCCATCTGGAGATGTTAGTAACCCAGATGCAATGGTTATAGCTATGAAGCGCTTGGTATTTCAAAAGTAAAGCAGAATAGTTTAGGCCACTGCAGTATGTATAATGGGAAACAAATGAATTCAAGTCACACCCCAAGGCTTCGCATTGGCAAGTTGATTAGCGCCATATCTCACTACTATTAATGGGTACAGTACGAGATACTACCCTATTCGCACATTCTACCAACATTTCATTTTATACGTTTTTACTGCTGATATTTACACTACACACACATGAACACCGACTATCGTCACATGAAACGAAGTTGCTCCTCACCAATACTGCTCTTATCCCTGCAACATCTATATCGTACAGCCACCTTCCCATTGCGTGGAACGCAACGTGCCCGTTGCGAATGATTGCCTGTAAAATGTTGATCATGCCTCATGTGGTGTGTCTAGAGGAATTCGAGAAGAAAATATTTATTTATGTATATATTTTTATTATATATCAAAGAAACAGAGGAATGTGAAAGTTTGTGAACGCGAACGGGCACCTAAAACAACGTCAGGCGCTGCTAAGTAGAGTCTTGACTTGCAATGCCAGCTAAGGAACTTTGAGACGGCCAGGCAAGTGCTAAAATCACTGAATTAACTTCTTTCCACTTAGACCAGGCGCAAAATCCATCCCGTTGATGGAGCCATCGAGTCAACTTATATGTCGTGCGTAACTACTGTGGCAGTCTGCAATCGAATAATGCGTAATCATTCAGACAGCGATAGTGCGATCACGGCAGTCGATGACGTTAGCTGGGGTAACGCTGTGCTCCTGAGCTATTTCCGTCGCTTCGTCTCGCTTTCTTTCGCAGTCACTTCTACCTAATCAATGCCTGTCAACATTCACCCGTGCCTTCTCCATTCTAGTGTCCAACACCAGGTAACACAAGAAGTGGGAGAGGTCACAACAGGTAGGGAGTATTTGGAAAGTACATGGAGTAAATACATCGATTCAAGGCGGAACGTCAAGTTACACGCTGATGCTCTAATCTAAAATAAAATAAACTTTTTATTCTCGGCAACGCGAGGCACGTCTTTACAGGCATGATGACGTTATGATAACAAAGAGTGAACAAAAATGTACAAGAATACAATATGCTTATCATAACAGTAAATGCGTACATGTCTGTGTCACTGCGCATAGGTGCAGCTTTGTAGTTTGTATTTGTAAGTGTGCCGTCGTACGTGTGATTGTTTGACAGCGTTGGCTATGTAAGAATAGACGATTGATGTCCGTGGATTGGACGTAATTATCCAGATATCTACGGGGCAGTGACTTTAGTTTATGGCGAGTCACATTCACCACTTCACAATGTTGATAAACGGACATTTGTGGCGTTTTATGGCGAGAACGGTTGCCAGGTTCTGGAACACTGCCGCCGAACTATTTTCTGGAATGGGTTAGACTCGAACCACTCAGCCGACACCATGAGAAGACTGTTCGGCTATCCAGTCCGTTCTTAATGGCAATGAATTCGCATTAGCCTACTTGGAGCGAAGATCAAAGTGAGGCCTCCCTTCAAAGGCTTCATGGTGAGATTCCTAACCCAAGTCATACTATGCTTCAAAACAAATGGACAAGCTTGCGAAAGCGATGAGATATAGCAGCATAAGATAATGGGAAGGAAGGAAGACTTCCAAAATTACAAAGGAGTAGTATGGGGAGTTGAATGGTATAGGTAGAAATTCATCGTATAGAGACAAAGTTAGATAGTCGTCAAACGCCCGGAAAAACACTGAACAGCCGTTTCATTCTTTAAGAGGAATTTCTACCTATACCATTTAGCCGCTTACTACTCCTTAGTACCCAGAAAAGCGGCCATACATTAATTGGAGGCTAAAGTTGGGTAAGTTTATCGCTTGGTGAGGAGACTACCCTGTCCTTTGCAAGGCAGTAACGTGCAAGTCAGCGGACAGTGCGCGGCAATATCACATTTAGTAACAGTCACGGTGGTCGTTGCCGTCCCACGTGGCTCAGTAGTCACAACCACAGACTGGCGACAGCCGAGCTGCGGGTTCGAGCCCCACAGAGGCCAGGTGAAATGCGCACTGCTGACGATTCCCGAAAAGATGAAACGGCCATACAGTGCTTTTTCGGGCGTGTAACGGCTGTCCGACTGAGTAAAGATGTGAGAAATTTCTACCGACTTTCGAACTATTGAAAAACAAGATAGTCCTCTTCATTTCCTCGTAAATTCCAATAAAGGGAGGGGATGGTATCACTGGAAACGCAAGTCCACCAGTAGGGGAAGGGTTGGAAAAAATTGCGGAGGTAGCGAGTTCGATAGGTCAGGAAGCGGACGGTGGCTCAAATGATGGCAAGTTAGTCACCGACTTCCCACAGTGGTACCACGAAGCACACAGGAGTGGGTCCGGAGCCCACGGCGAGTAAAAGTCGGTACTAAAACTACCTATGAGCGGATCTGACGAACGTATAAGCAGACAGGATTTGAAAAGCTATGTAATTGAAAGTGATGACATAGTGTGATGAAGGGAAAGCTGAACTTCTCCCGAGGGAGCCGTAGGAAATTAAGTTAAAAAGGAAAACAAGTTGCTGCGTCGTAGTAGCAGAGTGGCTGCGGACATCGATACGCAAGAAGAATCTATCTACAAAAGAGGAGCAACGGTTTGAATAGTATAAGTGAAGACTCATTACATCTAGGCTCAACCAGACAGTTATACCACGCCCGGAGGAGCACTGTAAAGCCGCGTCATCCTTTCGGGAATCGTCAGCGGTGCTAATTTCATCTGGCCGCTGTGGAGCTCGAACCCGCAACTCGACTGCTGTCAGTCTCGGGTTGGAACCAATGAGCTATGAGGGATAGTAAAAACCGTCATGACTAACTTAGTAAATAGGATATATGGCCGCTCATTATCCACTGACGTGCACGCTATTGCTGTAAAGAGGACAGAGTAGCCCCTATCGTATCGATTGACAAGTGGACAAAAACATTTAACGATACTTTCGATTGAGTCACCAGAGACGAGAAAAAACTCGTTCCACGTATCATTTGGTAGCACACTAGAAGACACAAGGTGGATTCCTGAGCTACAGAACAGACGTGTGGAGAAATCAAGTGGGCGAGGAGGAGAGCGCGTGTAAAGTTTTCCGATAAAAACTGCTAATCTCAGGTTACGCATGTTCGAAACCGAGCACTGCGAAATAGGATGCGATCCAATCAGCCAGGTGACATTGCATTCTGGAGGTGGTAGCTGCAATGCTCCAAAGACAATAATTCCAGCCAAAGCGACGATTGTGCAATCGCTATTGCGAAAATCATACATTCCCCTCTTAATACGCATGTTGACTGGTGTGTATAAGCTTGGATTGTGCACCATGCTGAGGATGATGTTGCATTCATGATATTTCTTCAACGCAGTTGGGATAAACCAACCTACACTTAAACTAAGTCTTTTGAGGTTGGATAAATTTCATTCCGCTTTATTTGCCTTGTTCTGCCTATCTGAATAAGCTTTTATTAACTGGCCACGTTGCTTACGTTAATTGAGCTTATCTTTGGTAACTTTGTTGCGTTTCTAACATTTTTAGAAAACTTGTGGACATTTCTTACTTATCGCGGATTCAATGCTAACCAACTCACTTCATATGGTAATTTAGCGAAGAGTTACGCCACCGTAGCTGTATGCATTAGTGGATTTATTTTATTTCAGCTTGTCGTTTAAAGTGATTGGCTGTTGCTTGATATCCCCGGTGTGACTGCGCTTGTTGTGTATGTTGACACGGTGTCTACCTGTCTATTACCCACTACCTCGTTCATACTGGCTCCAGGAGACAGTTGGTCGTTGCTGGAGGGGACGGGGTGCACGGTCCTTGTGGCCGTGCTAGGCTCAAAGAGCAGTTCCATGCACTCAGTGTGGAGCGGACTACGGTCCAGCCACTGCCTTGTGTGCGCTTTATTCCCCAAATACAGCGTGCTTGTGTTTGTCTGTGAAGGAGTGTGGGCCGGCTACGTTGCTGAAACGTGGCTCCCATTCACATGTCTCCCGGTCTTATTCTTTCGGTTTTACACTGGATATGGGGTGTATGGATGGAGCTGCGGGTGGTGCAGCGCAAGCCACCCATGGTCCCTCTGTAGGCGCAGGCGTCCTGTGGCTGGCCACAGTGACAGGCGAATCCGAACACGGATGCCGCCAACCATAAGCTTGGATTTCTATGATGAACCAGAGGCAGAAAACGCCGTCATCTCTGTCGTGGTGGAGGTAAAAAATGGTAGTTGAAAATACGAGGAATTATAATTCGAAAAGTGATTAGGCCAACTTCTTGACGAATACAGGAAACTAGACGGCCAGAATTTTGGATACTTGTTAATTTGCAATCCAATCAGTCAGCTCCGCCCGAAGTACCAGCAATGTACAATCCAGTTCACTAACTATGCTCAATACAGCGAAGCAGTTGCCTAAACGCAGGCCACCAAAACGCATAGCCGAAAGGAGGAAAGTGAGAAGAGGAGAAAAAGAAAGAAAAGAGGATTGGACAAAAAACCTAAACAAACACATGGAAGAGCGACGTAAGAAAATGAATGTCGAAGTGCCATTGACTACACGGCTCACACCACATAACAGATATCCTGAGCGCTCGTGACGAATGCTGGGGTCGCTAGCCGGGAGAACGACACATAAGCTTGACTCAGTCTTATAGCCAGTTCCTCGTAAGTCGTCATACCGTAGGACAACAACCGCGGCATCACACATAACTACGTGAAATGTTGGCAAGTAATGCCTATAAGATTAGCCGCTCAGTGGACTTACGGAGGAAATGACCGTTAATGAAGACGGTGTAAATCGACATAAAACCCAACACGACATGAGGATGCAGCACAACGAAACATCAGCAAAGAAACCCCGATGCCAGCACCACCGCGAGTAGCTCGCCTTTTTAAGGTCACTGAGAAATGGACACAAAACCG